TCTGAGGAGCTCCAGGGTCAGAAAGCTGACCAGGACCTTTCCAGGGTGTCTGAGTGCAGATGGGCAGAGAGAGCTGGCAAGTTGCAGCCAAAGCACTTCAGTGGGGGGGGGGGACACCCGAATTGTTCCCCTATTTCTGTCTCTGCTGCCCTCCGCCTTGAAGTGCTGCAAATACCTTGCTCCTCTCCTCCTCCACCCCGCTGCAGGTGCTGGAAGACAACGATTACGGGCGGGCCGTGGATTGGTGGGGCCTGGGTGTGGTCATGTACGAAATGATGTGTGGGCGCCTCCCCTTCTACAACCAAGACCACGAGCGCCTCTTTGAGCTCATCCTCATGGAGGAAATCCGCTTCCCGCGCACGTTGAGTCCGGAGGCCAAGGCCCTCCTGGCCGGACTCCTCAAGAAAGACCCCAAGCAGAGGTGAGGTTCGCTGTCCTCAGGGTTGGGGTGCTCTGGGGCGCCTTTGAGGCCAGGTCTGAGTTCAGAACAGCTCTAGAGCATGACCAGCATTAACCAAACAGGTGGATCCAAAATTTTATCAGAACTGCAGTCAATTTTATCAGCCCCTCCAGTCCAACACTCTGGGTCGCACAGTGGCCAGAAATACCAGGGGCCATCAGGAGGTCCAGCAGTGGGGCCAGAACTCCAAAAGCCCTCCCACTGTGCCCCTCCCCAAGCACCAAGAATACAGAGCATCACTTAACCCCAGACTGAGAGTTCCTGTCTATACCTTGTGGCTAAGAGCCACCGATGGACCTCTGCTCCATATAAGAACATAAGAGAAGCCAATGTTGGATCAGGCCAATGCCCCATCCAGTCCAACACTGGCCAAAATTATCAGGGGGTCCAGCAGTGAGTCCAGAACTCCAGAAGCCCTCCCACTGTTGCCCCCTCCCCTCCAAGCACCAAGAAGACAGAGCATCCCCTGCCCCAGACCGAGAGTTCCTATCTGTACCTTGTGGCTAATAGCCACCAATGGACCTCTGTTCCATATGTCCATCCAATTCCCTCTTGAAGCCGTCCATGCTTGTAGCTGCCACCACCTCCTGTGGCAGTGAATTCCATGTGTTAATCACTCTTTGGGTGAGGAAGGACTTCCTTTTATCTGTTCTAACCCGACTGCTCAGCAATTTCACTGCGTGCCCACAAGGAATTCTTGTATGGTGAGAAAGGGAGAAAAGAACCTCTTTCTCGACCTGCTCTGTCCCATGCATAATCTTGTAAACCTCGATCATGTCACCCCTCAGCCATCGTTTCTCCCAAGCGAAAGAGCCCCAAGCGCTTCAGCCTTTCTTCACAGGGAAAGTGTTCCAGCCCTTTGATCATTCTAGTTGGCCTCTTCTGCACTTTTCCCAATGCCGTAATATCCTTTTTGAGGTGTGGTAACCAGAACCGTACACAGGACTCCAAATGAGGTTGCACCATCGATTTATACAGGGGCATTATTATGATACTGGCTGGCTTGTGTTCAGTTCCCTATTCACGACTGCCTCTCGTGGGGTTTTGAGGGCAAGAGACATCCAGTGGTGGTTGGCCGTTGCCTGCCCCTGCGTAGCAACACTGGCCTTTCTTGATGGTCTCCCATCCAAGGACTAACCAGGGCCGACCCTGCTTAGCTTCCGAGATCTGGTGAGATCTTGCTGGCCTGGGCCATCCTGGTGAGGGCAGTGGTACATTCCGTGGTGGTGTTGAATTCCCAGTTAAGCGTGTCTGTTGCAAAGGTTGTGTTGGGTGGGTTTCAGGGAGCCTTACTTGTTTTAATTTTTGCCCTATTCTGTTGGGGGCTGGGGGAAATGTCGGGCGCCCCCTTGTTCCCCACGCCAGTGCCCAGCGTTCATCCGGTTGGGCCTGGGGAAGGCGACACCCCCACCACCAGTGCTTGTTTGTATTGCTGTTGTTCGTGGTCCGTTGGGCAGAGATGCTTCCCCATGAGTCTTGGACTCCCGGTCGCCCCCGGATGCGCTCCCGGGTAGCGGGGAACCAATTCCTTTCCCTGTTGCAGGCTCGGCGGAGGCCCCAACGACGCCAAGGAAGTGATGGAGCACCGGTTCTTTGCAGCCGTCAACTGGCAAGACGTGGTTCAGAGAAAGGTGAGGGGCAGGAGGGTGCCGGCTTCCCCCTTCCCTGCGCGGGGCTGTAGCTGGCCTGACTCTCCTCTGCTTCTCAGCCCTTTGTGTGTGCTGCTGGGCAGGGGGGCGGGGGGCGGCAACTCACAACCAATGCTCCCCCTTAGCTGTGGAGTCCTGTGAGCAAAAATTCTGCTTTGTGAGTTACTGGCGTTAAAGTTGTGAGCGAGCGATGCAGCTGCTGCATAAATTAGTGTGCTCTGGAGCCCTCCTTCCTGAGCTACGATAAAAATCTGTGAGCTGGAAGCTAAAAAACTGAGCCAGCTCACGCTCACTCAGCTTAGAGGGAACGCTGCTCACGTCGAGCGAACCGGGCCTCTTCTCCCCTTCCAGCTCATCCCCCCCTTCAAGCCCCAGGTGACCTCCGAAATCGACACCCGGTACTTTGACGACGAATTCACGGCTCAGTCGATCACCATCACCCCACCTGACCGATGTGAGTAGGAAGCAGACTGTGGGTCGTCGCCCCCACTGTCTGGAAGTCTGGCCAGCCTCTGTTCCCTGGTGGGTGTTGGGTCTGGGGCCCGCCCGGGGCTGGTTCTTGCCCGCCCTGAGTGGAGGGTGTGTGTGTGTGTGTGAGCCTGGTTACCTGCCCTCTCCCTCCCCCCC